TGATGATACATGATGATGATACATGGTGATGATACATATTGATGATACATGATGATATAACATGATGATGATACATGATGATGATACATATTGATGATACATGATGATATAACATGATGATGATACATGATGATAATACATGATGATGATGATACATGACCATGATAAATGATGAAGATACATAACAATAATGATGATAAATGATGATATTATATGAATGGTGATAGTGATGATTATTATTATATCATATTTAACAATTCTCAATGATATTTTCATGATGATAGCATCTCTTAATAATGTAATGTAATTTCATGACTTTAATAGCATACTGTAATATCCACCCATGCATAATATTTCCGCAGAGGATTCGCTGCCTGACAAAGAAAGCAAGGAGCTTGCTGACTGGATGAACGTCGTACTAGGAAATCACAAAGTTGTCGGTGTTAAGGTTTGTCATCTACTGACAGATGGAGCATTTGTTTGTCCCTCCCCCCCTCCCCTCCCATGAAATTCGTTTTGACCAATTTTCCTGTTAGGTTTCTAATCGACTGAGGAACACCAGTCATCCTGCCATGATAACAGTACCTGACATGGTGGCAGCCAAACACTGGCTTAAACTAATCAAGAGTGAAAACCACAGTAAAGACATCGGAGATGCCAAGTTTCAGATCATTCAACCTAYGTTGGAGATAAACCCAAAGTAAGATCATTTCTAGTAGAAATTTCTTGTCTTGCGAATTGTTTCTGTCTGTCGCAATCTGACATCATGAGTGACATATCTCACAATATTGCTGGGTTAATCACGGCAGTCATACCATGAGGAAGGAACAATGCAAGACAAGAAATACTCCAGTTTCAAGTTGCTTAATCTTAGCCTTGACTTTGTGCAGAATATTGATTTGTTCCAGTGAAGGTCTGTGGAAATTCAAAATTTCAATACCTGTGAATATTTAGACACTGATACAAGTAAATGAATCTGTAATAATAATTAAAACTCCAAAAAGCTCTATTTCCTAACAGAGAAAATATGCCTCACGATATGAAATGTATTTCACTACAGCTACGTTGTAGTGGAACAATGCAATGTTTTCGTACAATAAGAAATTTCAATTCCACATTGGCCTATAACATGAAAGTGATTTTCATCGTAACCATGTTGTCAGGCAGGAAGGAAACCATGTTTTTTATTCATTTTATTTTATTTTATTTTTTTGCATGACAAGATAACAGTATTTCATTGTCTAAAAATAAAATGTGCACTGTTCTGCCGCTAGGTATGGCTGTCATGAAAGCATGAAACCCTTGTACAATTATGGAAATGTGTTAAAACATTATGACCAAATCTTCTAGCACCATATTTTTTTGTTTGTTTGTTTATAATATTTTTTTCATTCTGCTCAGTTTCTGCTTTGATTTTTATGAATCATTTTCAGACATGAATTAATCAAAAAGCTTGAGAAAGCAAGAGAAAGCAATACTCAACTAGCTACTCTCATCACCAACCAGGTTTGTAGTAGTGCTGCATGATGTTAGTGATGATGAGTGATGAT